CCGGGACACCCCGTCATGGGCCGGGACACCCCGTACGGACCGGGACACCCCTTCATGGGCCGTGGACACCCCGTACGGACCGGGACACCCCGTCATGGGCCGGGACACCCCTTCATGGGCCGGGACACCCCATACAGACCGGGACACCCCGTATGGACCGGGACACCCCGTCATGGGCCCAGGTTACCCCTGAGATGGCCCGGGTCGCTCCCGAGGTGTACATGGTCACCCCACCGGGGCCGGGGAGCCTGAGCCCATGCGCACCCTCCGCCCGCAGGGAATGGTGGACACGGCCAAGAAGAACTTCGGCGGGGGGAACACGGCCTGGGAGGAGAAGTCGCTGTCCAAGTATGAGTCCAGGTGGGTGCCCCTCAGCACGGCTGTTCCTGGGGCAGGGCACCCCCGCTGACAGCACAGAGGGTCCCTGCAGCCTGGGCACCTGTGCTCCGGCCTGGAGCTGACCCACTGGCCGTTGCTGGCCTTTGGCTCCCAGTCCACACAGCAGACACGCCGGCCTCTCCGAGACTCAGGGACAGAGTCCATCCCACGAACTGTCAGTCGCTGGCCTCCCCTCTGCCCAGAGCTCCCACCCCCAGCTTCAGGGTTTCCCCTGGGACCCCCCTGACTGCCCATCACCCTGAGATAGAGAGGCTTCCTGACAGCTCCCCCCCCAGTTCAGTCCTCTGCATAGCACCACGCGTGGCCCCACAGCTCCGCCTGGCCTCTGGTGGGGCCTCAGCACCTCCCTGTAGGAGGGCTGACTGGGTGCTGGGCTGACCAGGTGGGTACTGGCCGGACCAGTGCTGGGCTGACTGGATACAGGCCTGACTAGGTTCTGGCCTGACCGGGTGCTGGGCTGACCGGTGCTGGGCTGACTGGGTGCTGGGCTGACCGGGTGCTGGGCTGACCGGGTGCTGGGCTGACCAGTGCTGGGCTGACTGGGAGCTGGGCTGACGGGAGCTGGGCTGACTGGGAGCTGGGCTGACTGGTGCTGGGCTGACCAGGTGGGTGCTGGGCTGACCGGTGCTGGGCTGACTGGGTACTGGCCTGACCGGGTGCTGGGCTGACCAGTGCTGGGCTGACCGGGTGCTGGGCTGACCAGTGCTGGGCTGACTGGGAGCTGGGCTGACGGGAGCTGGGCTGACTGGTGCTGGGCTGACTGGTGCTGGGCTGACCGGTGCTGGGCTGACTGGGAGCTGGGCTGACCGGTGCTGGCCACTTGCCTTGCAGCGAGGTCCGCCTGATGGAGATCGTGGAGAGCCTGTGTGAGAGCAGCGACTTCGAGTGCAACCGCCTGGTGGAGGAGCACGAGGAGCAGCTGGAGGCCTGGTGGCTGCGGCGGTGAGTCCGCCCGCTCCGCCCGGTCACGGATCCACCACAAATGCTTTGTTTTCAACGCCTGGTTTTGAAGTAACTTCAGACTCAGGGAAGTTCCAGAAGCAGGTCAGAGAGCTTCCGCACACCGGCTTCTCCCCCGACGCCCGGCCGTCCTCAGTGACCTTCAGGCAGTGACCCCGCGGGACTGGGGAGAGGGCGTGCAAGCCCGGCGGCCTCCCGGGTTGCAGGAGGCCGGGAGCGTGTGCGGCAGGGAACTGCGCTTTTGCTCTGAGACACCCGTGTGTGAGGGTAACGAACACGTTTAAATCCTAGGAAGAAGGAGCACCCTGACTTATTTGAGTGGTTTTGTGTGAAAACGCTGAAAGTTTGCTGTTCTCCGGGAACCTATGGCCCGGACTGCATCGGTACGTTCCTGGCGAGATCCCGAGTTACCCGCGTCACCGGAGGGCTCCTGCTAACGCCCTGCCCGGTGCTGGCACGCGTGTGGGAGGCGGCCGGTGGGCAGCTGTGCCTCGGGGTGGGTCCGGGCTAGGCCCCTTGTGGTTGGGCATTACCCAAGTCCCTCACGGGGTCAGCCGGACAGCGTGGGCAGTTTTTAAGGTAAGGCCCTCACTGACCGAAGCCGCCTCCTGCCTGCCCTTCCCACTTTCTGGTGGCGTGTGGCCGCCGCCGGGCAGTCTTGCTGTCCATCAGCTCCACACCCCCCGTGTGAGCTTCCTCGTTCTGAGCCTCAGGTGAGGCTGCCCTGACTGGGTGCTCAGGCGGCCGTGCAGGCTTCCGGGGTAAGCAGGGCTTGGACTTTAGCAGAAGATCCGAAGAGCTCTCTTGACTGTGCAGCGAGTGAGAACGCGCCCTGGCTGCCTCCTGCGTGCGCTGATGCACTCTGTCCCCACAGCGTGCCAGGGCGGGTCCGAGAGGCCCTGCAGCGGGA